GTGATGGCGGTGGGTGGTAATGTGGGTTTGCGGTGGTGGTATATCTAGATCTAGGGTTAGGGTTTCGGGAGAACAAGAAGAAAATGAAAAAGATAATGATGGGGAGAGAAGTGGAGCGATGGTGCTACCTCCTTCTGCTGCCGCTACTGTAACTCTCCTCTCCACTATTGGAAACTGTGAGGGTAGGGGTGACGACGAGAGGAGAAGAAAAATGATGATGAAGGCTAGAGAGGGTAGAAGAAAAACCATGAAGGCTAGAGAGAATAGGGGTACTGATGAGAGGAGGCGAAGCGCGGGAAGGGAAGGGCGACAATTGAAAGAGGTGACAGCCGACAACGTGGTGGTGGTTAGGGTTGGGTTAGGTTAGGGTTTGGGATAGAAAGTTGAAGAAGATGAGGATAATTTAGGATTTGTTATTATAGAAGAAAAAAAATAAAATTGATGGTGTGAAGTAAGATGAAATTAAAAAATTGAAAATGTGTGTGGTGTGTATTGAGAAGATGGTATATACTAAGAGATTTGGTGGTGTATAAATAGAATTACTTTATTGTATATTATTTACATTGTGTGAACAAATTCACACTCTAATAGTGGCAAAGCATTCATTGTTGAGACCAACTCCTCGCTCGAGCGAAGGTCCAAAAATCTGGGCAGCAACACTAGGCTCCCAAACACAACCAACCTGAAACAAACCTGCCCAACACATCCTATAACTCAATATACAAAGTAAAGAGAATGTAAACACGATGATAACCAAATACCAACATCCACGGACACATGTCCGGATCACTGTACAACAAGGGTAAACCCGGGATCGCTATAGTTTCGGGAGAACAAGAAGAAAATGAAAAAGATAATGATAGGGAGAGAAGTGGAGCGATAGTGCTACCTCCTTCTGCTGCCGCTACTGTAACTCTCCTCTCCACTGTTGGAAACTGTGAGGGTAGGGGTGATGACCAGAGGAGAAGAAAAATGATAATGAAGGCTAGAGAGGGTAGAAGAAAAACCGTGAAGGCTAGAGAGAATAGGGGTAACGATGAGTGGAGGCGAAGCGCAGGAAGGGAAGAGCGACAATTGAAAGAGGTGACGGCAGACAACGTGGTGGTGGTTAGGGTTGGGTTAGGTTAGGGTTTGGGATAGAAAGTTGAAGAAGATCAGGATAATTTAGGATTTGTTATTATAGAAGAAAAAAAATAAAATTGATGGTGTGAAGTAAGATGAAATTAAAAAATTGAAAATGTGTGTGGTGTGTATTGAGAAGATGGTATATACTAAGAGATTTGGTGGTGTATAAATAGAATTACTTTATTGTATATTATTTACATTGTGTGAACAAATTCACACTCTAATAGTGGCAAAGCATTCATTGTTGATATTTTCAATGATATATCACCGAATGTGCATAAATTTTTTCACAAAATTTGAGTAAAAGTTCCTTTTGATATTAAATGCTTCGACGAAAGGTTTTGTAACTTCATCAAACCATCGGTCCACCAGGCAGACAATTGGCCGGTCGACTGGCCAGTGTAATTTTTTCCTAAATTTTTTGTCTTGAAGTGGTCATTCGGGAGACGTCCGGTGGTGAAAATTCAACGACAATGAATAGTAATTTGATGAAAAACACATTGATCCTTAGTTTGATTAAAAAAAAGTGAAATCTTGAATATGATGAACCGTTAAAGAAGCAAAAATAATTTTTTTTTATCAAATTTAAATTAAATAATAGATTTAATGAACCATTAGAGATGGTCTAAATCCTAACACTCCAAATAACAAACAAGAATTCATATTTCTTGTGTGCGTACACACATCATCATTTCCAAAAACAAATTTATTGCTTATTTTGACATATTTCTAAACAATAAAGGAAATCTTATTAAAAAAATCATCTTTCAAATACTTGTATTTTAATTAGTCTATAAAATATTTTTATATTCTCATAAGTCTTTTTATTTTAGGCATTTAATTCACTAAATTCTAATTCTCATATTTAAAGTATTTTATAAATAATTTTACCCTTACAAATATTTTTTGAACCCTCACCAACTTGGTGATGTAAATATTCAAATTAAATAAATTTGATTGTATTAATGTTTATGTTGACAATGTGAATATTTATATTGACACGCGCTATCAATGTGAACATTAATGCGTGTTTTATTCTATTATTATTAGAGATATTTTGATAACTATGTCACTTATAAAATTTATTAGAATATAAGAAAATAATTTACATTAAGTGGAATATAAGTAAGTGAAGAAAGATTATGAATAAATACCCCAACAATAAACTTAATTATACATGATAACGTTTCAAAACAATCCATCAGAATAATATATGAATAACGTAGTACTGTTGGACATTTTGCACAATCAAAAAATATGTTTAAAAAGTTTCTCTATAATATAGAACGGAGAAAGTTTTAAGGTGGTTAAGTATTTGAGTAATGTTTTAAGCACTGGTTTGGAAAGTATTTGAGTAATGTTTTAAGAACTGGTTTGGAAAGTTGGGTGGGGGTGGGTTGAGATTAAAATAGTTATAAAAAGATAAAATAGATTTTTTTAGTAGTTAAAAAATATCACATCTAAATCATAATGATTTTATTTTTTCTGTTACAAAAGTCAAAAAAATTTATCCCCAACGAGACTTTTTAGCTTTAGATTAAAATAGCTAAAAAATCAATTCACATTCCAAACAGAGCCTAAGTATTCAAAGATAAAAAAAAGTATTTGAGTCATGTTGATAAACTTACCTTTTCAAGTTACAAAATTATTAATAGGTTACGTGTGTGATGATTATATATGTCGAGTTAATCACAAGTTGTTCTTGTTAATTAATGACTAGAGATAACTTACTTTCCAAATAAAAACATAAAGGGATTTATAATATTTTTCTTTTTTTTTTTTATTTATACATATAATGTTAGTTTTTTTTTTTTTTTTTTTTTTTTTTTTTTTATTTTTGATTTTTTGTTAGTTGACTAGAAAGTTAAATAATTGCTAATAACCGTTTTGTATAATATTCCATCTTTGTCAAACCCTAGACAAAAGTAACCGAGTTTGACTGGGAATGCATTAAAGAAGTAAACGTAAATTTGTCAAGCTAAAGAGATAATTATTTAAAAGTCCTATTTTTAAATATTATGATAGTTCAGGTTTTATTTAAACAAATTTTGAATTAATAAATCGTATTTTGTAAAATTGAGAATATTATCAGTTTTTCTTAATTTTTAAAAACTAAGAACATTATCAATTTTACATAGTAGTGTTCCAGAGCATGAGATTAAACTTTTTTGCCATTCTACTTATTGATTTAATTCAACTATCCAATAAAACAGAGAAGATTATCAATTTTTTTCAGTTTTAAAATTAAAAACATTACCAATTTTTTCATTTTTAAAGTTTTTTTTTTTTTTTTTGCACATCAATGTTCCATCATCATGCTTCTTTATAGACACAAAATTTTTAGTTTTTCCCCAAAAAAAAAAAATTCAATTTTTTAAAAAAAAAAAAAAAACATTAGGGTTTTTTTTTTTTTTTTTGCACATAATTTTTTTTAGGTTTTTTCAATTTGAAAGTTGATGTTTTAAAGTTTTGAAAATCAAAATAAATGTCAAATTATCATATTTTTTTTATAAATAATCATAAATGATGAATAATCATTGTTTGAAGAGTAATTTTGACTATTAAAAATTTAATTGGACTTGAAGGTCCAAAAAATTTTAGTTAGAACTAGAGTATAAGTGCTTATTTGGGATCCCTTAAAAAAGTCAAAAAGTTACTAAAAAAAAAAGTAAAAAAAGTAAAAAAATCTATACTATTTGGATGAAGTGTGTGGGGGAAGTTAGAGGGCAAAATTACGATTTTGCCCTTTGAATTAGTCAGACCAACAGTGCACTCAGGGGAGCTTCTCTCTACACACACCTAATCCCCTCTATACACACACTTAATGATATTTAATTTTATTACAATTTTATCCCTAAGTGAAATTACTATTTTAAACATCTACCCAATTCAAAAGTCTCAATGCACACATCCAGACTTCACGTTGAAGCTCCAAGTTCAGCTTCTTCCATTGAGGTAGAAGTGAATGCACTCATTCATTAAGCTCCAAGTTCAGCTTCTTCCATTGAGCTAGAAGTGAACGCACTCATTCATTAAGCTCAAAGTTCAACTTCTTCCATTAAGGTCCAAGTTCGTAGCATCTCAACTTTCCTCATTCGTAGCTTCAACCTTCCTCATTCGTAGCTTCTTCCTCATTCATCATTGTTATGGAGGATTTGTCTTCTGAAAATCAACAAATAAGTGTTTATGTAAAACAGAGCAAAGGAAATGTGAGTTTTTCTTTTTATTTTTATTTTTATTTTTTTTTAGCGTCGTTCGGATAACCAGAGTCGAATTGTGTTATTTGGTTCGGAAATCTACTACTGAAATAATTATTTATTTTTGGAAGTTGTTGTCTGAACAAAGTAATAAATTTCAGAAGTTGTTGTCCGAACAAAGTATTTAAATTCGGAAGTTGTTGTCCGAACAAAGTTAACTTTTACAACATTCAACTTCCGAAATTTGAAAATAAATTCGGACAACTACTTCCGAATGAAGTAAATTTTTTTTTCCTATTTTATATTCCAAATTTGCAAACTGCATACCAAATTTACAGTTTCAAATTGCAAATTAATCTTTATAATGCCATAAAAAATTTGTAATGTTATACAAAACATGCAGGAATATGTGTCAACTCAAGGAAGTCAGGTTTGCGTGGATTTTGTGTTGGATTACACCACTCAATTCACAATTGAACAGGTTCACTCTACGAAATTATAACGATTATGTTTCGAATTGCTCATCAAACGTAAATGTTTGATAATATTTATTTAACTTTGTAGGTATTCAAAAGTAAGGATGAATTGCTCAATTGGATACGTGAAGTTGGAAAGAGAAATGGTTTGGTCATTGTAATCAAAACATCAGACTATGGTTGAAGGAAAAAAAGACCCAGGATGTATCTTGCTTGTGAGAGGAGTGGCCAATATAGAGCAACAAAGAAGTTAAAACATGATTGCAACAATACATCAAGAATAACCGGTACGAAGAAGTGTGGTTGTCCTTTTGATATGAGGGCTCACAGGTTTACCACACATGATGAATGGACATTGACCGTAGTATGCGGATTGCATAATCATCCACCTGCGGAGCACCTTGAGGGACATTCATATGCGGGGAGGCTATCAAAGGATGAGAAAGCATTGTTAATGGATATGTCAAAGAGCATGGTTCGGCCAAAAGAAATCCTAGTAACCTTGAAACAGCGAAATGCCCCCAATGTAAGCACACTTAAAACCATTTACAATGTACGCCATCGAAACAGGATGGTACAGAGAGCTGGAAGATCACAGATGCAACACTTATTGGGTGAATTGGTACAGAGAGCTGTGGCAGCCCAGACTGCTCAATAATGGCTTTGAATCTGGTGTTGTTGTCTACTGACCACCATGGCCATGCAAGGATCTTTGAAGAGTGATTATGACACTTTAGGGGCCCTCATTCCTATAACACAAATGATATCTCATTAGAAACTACCATACAACACACAAAAAAAAAAAAAAATTCATATACAAAAGAATTTCACTTCTACTCAGGAATGTTTACCTCCCCGTGCCAACCTCCCTGTGCCAAATAGCTGCAGCGACATGACTATTGAAACTCCGCAGTATTGATGGATCAGTCGGTCCACCTGGAAAAGCATGAGTAAGGTACTCTTCCTGGACAGTAGGAGAATCGGGTAAAAAGGCGTCCTCCACAGCAATGTCAGGCATATCATCACCTTGAACTCGTCTTTGGCTTCGGCTTCTACTTTGACTGGCACTGGGGATATCATATTCTACCGAAACTGGATCACGACCTCGACCTCGACCTCGTCCTCGCCCACGCCCTTGTCCCTGTTCATGGTCAACATCCAATTCACGACGTCGTCTATTTGAAGCAGTAGGTGGGACACGTTGTTGATATTCAAAATCCATATTATCTGCAAAAATTAATATGTTCGATGACCATCATCTTGATCAAACATAATACTATAATAATCTCATAATACATATAATTATAAACACATTAAGTATCACATTGTTAAAAATAAAATTAAAAAAAAAAATCGATCCTAGTGCATTACTAATGCTCTTATTCCCTAATTCTATCCCCAAACAAAGCTATACCATTTTTCAATTCCATGTTAGTACCCATTGAAGCTCAAACAAGTTTTGAAAAGGTGATCTCAAATACAATATGTAGTGATTGATTCATATAGGTATAAATTATGTTACAATAATTAAAATTTTAATGCATTTTCTCAAATTATTTATCACTCAATATGAGATTACCACAAATGTAAAAAGATTACACAAAAGAAGGGAGGAAAAAAAATAACACTGTTCGGAAGTTGAAAACTGAAAGTATATATTGTTCGGAAGTTGAAATCTGAAACAAAAAATTAATTTCAGAAGTTGATTGTTGTTTGAATTTAATGTATTCGGAAGTTGACTACTGAAATAATCAAAAAGTTTCGGAAACCTACTGTTGAAATAAATTATCAATTTCGGATTCCTACTTCCGAACAAATTCCTTAATTTCGGAAAACCAGTTCCGAATAGTTTGTTTACACTCTGTGGGCCTTCGTTCGTTTTCAAAATGAAAAAAACAAAACTCTACATTGCAAATTAAATAGGAATGATGATTCAAAAGTAAACTCACCTAATGATGATTGAAAATGTGATGGAATGCTTCAATGGGATGCAGCTTCGTGGATGAAATGCTTCAATGTATTTGCACACCTGGGTTGCACACGGTAAGCTTCTATGTGATGGAATGCTTCAATGTATTTGCACACGGTAAGCTTCAATGGGTGTGTATGTCCTCAAGGTTGAAGACGTAGCTTCAGCTTCAATAGGTGTGTGTATTTGCACCGTTGGGAGAGCTGGGTTTGGGGTCAGGGGTGTGTGTGTGTGTATGAGGGTAGATGTGGAATGAACCGTGTGTGTAGTGAGTAAACTAATTAGGAATTAATTTTTTTGGTGTGTAGTGAAAAGGATGTGCAAAGAGGGTATTTGGTGTGTGTAAATAGTGTTGGAGAAAAATGGTTGAATAAGAAATTGCCTCATAAATGTGTATATAACTCACACATTTAAGGCTCATCAGTTTTACAAAATTGATTGGGCAGTTTTGCTAGCATTAGTTGCCAGCCTTGATGGCTAGAGACTCCTCCCCTCTCCCCCATGGTGTATAAAAGGAGGCCCTATTCCTTGAAAAAAGAGATAGAATTTTTTCTTGGCATCCATACCCTGTCAGTCTACTTCTCCTATAATTTTCTTCCTGAGAGAGAGTGCTGCCGTTGTCAGTTCACTAAGCTAATCAGAAGGTGCTTCTATTGTAGCTAGTAAAAACCGTCGTATCCTGGGAAGTAGACGCCGGCGTACCTCCAGTCCCCAATGGTGAGGCGACGAATCTATTTTAAGGAGACTGTGGTATCACACAGACTTCGGTTTGCTTCCTTTAACCATTTTATATTTTATCTGTATTTTATTAAACATGTTATTTTTCCTGGGATTGAAGGTTTGGTTTGTTCATCTCATAATTTTGCGATATGCAATGTGAAATTATGTAATGTGAGTAGTTTTTCCCAACAAGCTTAAAATAGATTCGACATTTATCATAGAATTAGATTAATAGATTCATAGGTGTGTGCAACAATTTTGCATGTAATAGGCCACTGTTATCAATAGGGAAGAAGAGTTCCATTGGTGCAACGTTAATTCACTGTATTTTCTAATTAATTTATTAATTTATGGTGTACCGGTTCATGCCTTGTATTTCTAGATTTACATGCTTCTAGTTCACATGCTTCTAGTGTACAATATAAATTACATGTTCATTCGGGTTTAAGTTTTAGTGTAATTTACATTTCTAGCATGTTTATTAGGTAGTAAATTTACATGTAACTTGTACCTATTAATTTTTAATTTAGGTGTGGAGTTGTAAAGTTTATAACTTGCCTATATTTAAATTCATGTTAATTTCTCTAGAATTATTTGCATGTTAATCATGTCATTTGCAATTCTTGCCTAGTAATGTGATTTAAGTATTTAGGAGTTATAAAATGTTTGTAACTTGCCTCAATTAATTACATGTTTAGTGTACCATAAGTTCATATGTAACCTTTACCAATTTAAAATATGGTTTAATTATATTTAATTTAGGTCTGTAACTTATATAGTTAATTACATATTTATTATGTAATTAATTTTTTACAGTTTTTTTTAGTTTAAATTCTAGATGTGTAACTTAAGGGTTGGTTTTAATCTTTACTTACAGTTATTTATTATTTTGTTTGCTAGTACCCTCCCCTTCAATCACTACTTTGCCAAAAGCAAAGAAAAGCTGAGAGAGGTTTTGTTGTATTTTGCTGCTAACTCTTTATTGCAGGAATACCTATGGAAATGGAAAAAAGGATTAATTTGGACTAAATATTTAAAGCAATTGTTTGCTTGAGTGTTCATTTGTGGTTATTCACCAATATGTAAAGCACGTTTTATTTGCTTGTAATTATTGTAGCAATTTTGTTGTAATTGCTTATAAAGTGATGCAATTGTAATTGCTTGTACCGTTTGGAACTTGGTGTGTTTAACCTAATTCATCCCTTGGAAAATTTAATTCATAAAGTTGTTTCCCATGGACTAAGAGTCAACATGCTCTTGAAAGTTTTGTCTAAAGTTAACTGGGTTTTAAGTGGGACCGGTGTGACCCCTCCAATCTTCTTGGAAACTTTCCTGACCATGTGCGATTCTAGGTTACGTGGTGAGACTAGTTTTGAATTAAATTTCCAAATTGTGGGATTTTCTAGTGCTAAGTTTGATTTCTGGAAATACAGAATAGTAAAAATTCGGCTGTAATTTTTCAAAAATGGCAACTGTCTCTGATGCTGCTACTGCTGCTGCTAATATTGGTGGGGATCCAAACCCCGGGGCGACTGGCTTGCCAACCCCTGCTGTGACCTCTGTGGTCAATCCTCCTGTTGTTACTCCGGCTGTTCCGGGAGGACCGCTCAATCATCACGAGCGCCCGGAGAAGTTCACGGGAGTGAATTTCAAGAGATGGCAGCAGAAGATGCTGTTTTATTTGACTACTCTAAGCATTGCGAGGTTTCTGAGTGAAGATGTACCA